TGACTGCATTTGTCTCTTTTTGCCCAGCATTTGTATATATAGTTTTGGGGTGGGGATCTCAACCGTTTCAAAGTTATGACCCAGGGGTTAAGTCTGCAAAGGTGGGGCAGACCCTGGGGTCAATTCTAATATCATGACTGCATTCGTCTCTTTATGCCCAACAATTGTATATATAGTTTTGGGGTAGGGATCTTAACCATTTCGAAGTTATGACCCAGGGGTTAAGTCTCCAAGTGTGGGGCAGTCCCTAAGGCCATCCTGGAAGCATATGTGCAATCATATTTTTATACTCAGCAATTGTATATACAGTTTTAGGGTGGGGCTATCAGCTGGTTCCAAGCTGTGACTAAGAAACTAGGTCCCTAGGGGTTCGGTCAGACCCCAGGGTCTATTCTGATATCATGACTGCATTCGTCTCTTTATGCCAAGCATTTGTATATATAGTTTTGGGGTGGGGATCTCAACAGTTTTAAAGTTATGGCCCAGGGACTATGTCTCCAAGGGCGGGGCCAAACCCTAGTGCCAACCTGGAATCAAATGAGCAATCTTCTCTTTATACTTAGCAATTGTATACCACGGTTTTAGGGTGGGGATCTCAAGTATTTCCAAGTAATACACTTTTTTGGCCACACCCCTTAGCCCGTGGGGGTCAGCCCCACAATTTGTACAATTTTGAATCCCTGCCTCCCATGAATGTTTCCGACCAAATATGATCAATATCCATGGCATAGTTCTACAGTAGAAGTCGCTTAAAGCAATATAGCCAAATAACCCTTTTTGGCCCCGCCCCTCAGCCCCCTGGGGGGTCAGCCCAATTATTTGTACAATTTTGAATCTCCGCCACCTAGGGATGCTTGCAGTCAAATATGGTTGATATCCATCTCTTAGTTCCAGAGAAGAAGTCGCTTAAAGCAGAATAGCCAAATTTCCCCCTTTTGGCCCCGCCATTCAGCCAGCGCCATCATTTGTACAATTTTGAATCCCCATCACCTAGGGATGCTTCCAGTCAAATATGGTTGATATCCACTTCTTAGTTCTAGAGAAGAAGTCACTTAAAGCAATATAGCAAAATTGACCCCTTTTGGCCCTGCCCCTCAGCCCCCTGGGGGGTCAGACCAATTATTTGTACAAATTTGAATCTGCACCACCTTATGATGCTTCCAGTCAAATATGGTTGATATCCATCTCTTAGTTCCAGAGAAGAAGTCGCTTAAAGCAGTATAGCCAAATTGCCCTCTTTTTGCCCCACCCCTCAGCCCCCTGGTGGGTCAGCCTGATCATTTGTACAATTTTGAATCCCCACCACTTAGGGATGCTTCCAGTCAAATATGGTTGATATCCACTTTTTAGTTCCAGAGAAGAAGTCGCTTAAAGCAATATAGCCAAATTGACCCCTTTTAGCCCTGCTCCTCAGCCCCATCATTTGTACAATATTGAATCCCCACCACCTAGGGATGCTTCCATTCAAATTTAGTTAAATTCCAATCAGTGGTTAAGAAAAAGAAGTCGTTTAAAGAAATTGTTGACGTACGTACGGACGACGGACGCAACGGTATGGCATAAGCTCACTTTGGTCCTTCGGACCAGGTGAGCTAATAATTTAAGATAGGTACAATTCTAGGGGTGTAGAGAGCGAAAGTGAGTGTAACCCCTGGATATTGAGGATGCAAGTCTGGATAGTATAGAAGATATGCCACGGACAAACATTTTCAAAAGTAAAGGTCAAAGGTCAAGTCATAGGTCACAGTGACCTAATTTTTGCACCCTACCTTCCCGAGATGAATTTGTACACCAAGTCTGGATACTTCAGGTGAAACGGTTGGAACAACAGACAAAAGGATGGACGAACAGAGTGCAAACCTATAGTCCCCCCACCCCCAGGAACCAGGAACCGGTGGGGGACTAATTATGAGGAAAGTTGATACTGGCAAGGTATCCTTGTGGTAGTTGAAATATGCCCATATAGTTTGGGAGAAATCTATTTTGAATGTTAGCCACTATATTCATATTATCTCTTACACATCATAGGTTAAGGAGGCTACCACTAGTTTGGTTAAAACCTGCCCATGAGTCTGGGATGGTATGTGACTTAAAGCATCTTTTTGACCACACCCCTCAGCCCTTTTATCTGTATAACAATGGATCCCTATGGGCTGAGGATGCTGCCTCCGCTATTTGTTTAAAACTTAAATTGGGGAGGGGATGACGTTGAAAAACAGTTTCCTTATACCTCAAACTACCAGACTTCGTTCTGGCCAATTTCACCACCAACGAAATAACACAGAAACAAAAATATTGTACAGTATTTTTTATTCAAATGCAACAACATAACAGTTATACCCTTTGACAACTTGATTCTACAGCAGGCTCCAGAACAGGTGATCAGTTGCGTTGTCAGGTTTTTAACAGTCTTCACACTGAACACAGACACGTTTATTGCAATGATGACCACAAGGGTTTGTATGATTTAACATGTGAACCTCCTCAGGAAATAAATCCTAACATAAGATTATCAAATTTCTATTTTATTTTTAGGAAAAAACCCAGATCTTATCAATTTTAGGGAGGCTAAGCTTTGATCAAATGAAAACTTTAGGACATGTTTCATAGATCTGACATGAAATGTAATGATTATCACAAATAATAATTTAGCAAAAACCTGAACCATAACAAAAATCTATGACCATATCCATTTTCAACAATGACATCTTAAACCATGTAATGCCTTACATAAGAGTGTCACTAATACACCACGGCCACATTCACTGCATTATACTAATATTATACATATTTTTGACGAGAGATCTTGTACCCCAGTCCAAAGTTTTCATTCTCTCCTAAATTCGCATGATAAATGATACAGACTCTGTGAAGAAGTCCATGGTGACGCATGGTAATGACACATGATTGATAAATACAATCAAGTCCATGGTGACGCATGGTAATGACACATGATTGATAAATACAATCAAGTCCATGGTGACACATGATTGATAAATACAATCAAGTCCATGGTGTCGTATGGTAATGACACATGATTGATAGATACAATCAAGTCCATGGTGACATGTGATAATGACACATGATTGATAGATACAATCAAGTCCATGGTGACGCATGGTAATGACACATGATTGATAAATACAATCAAGTCCATGGTGACACATGGTAATGACACATGATTGATAAATACAATCAAGTCCATGGTGACACATGGTAATGACACATGATTGATAGATACAATCAAGTCCATGGTGACACATGGTAATGACACATGATTGATAAATACAATCAAGTCCATGGTGACACATGGTAATGACACATGATTGATAGATACAATCAAGTCCATGGTGACACATGGTAATGACACATGATTGATAAATACAATCAAGTCCATGGTGACACATGGTAATGACACATGATTGATAGATACAATCAAGTCCATGGTGACACATGGTAATGACACATGATTGATAAATACAATCAAGTCCATGGTGACACATGGTAATGACACATGATTGATAGATACAATCAAGTCCATGGTGACACATGGTAATGACACATGATTGATAGATACAATCAAGTCCATGGTGACACATGGTAATGACACATGATTGATAGATACAATCAAGTCCATGGTGACACATGGTAATGACACATGATTGATAGATACAATCAAGTCCATGGTGACACATGGTAATGACACATGATTGATAGATACAATCAAGTCCATGGTGACACATGGTAATGACACATGATTGATAGATACAATCAAGTCCATGGTGACACATGGTAATGACACATGATTGATAAATACAATCAAGTCCATGGTGACACATGGTAATGACACATGATTGATAGATACAATCAAGTCCATGGTGACACATGGTAATGACACATGATTGATAGATACAATCAAGTCCATGGTGACACATGGTAATGACACATGATTGATAGATACAATCAAGTCCATGGTGACACATGGTAATGACACATGATTGATAGATACAATCAAGTCCATGGTGACACATGGTAATGACACATGATTGATAAATCAACCTGTGCTTATGAAAAACATAGCATTGTTTTATATACAAATGGCTAAAAGCATTTTAAGAAACCAAGCTGAAAGATATTTGCATGCATCCTGATGACCACAATCACAGAAATATTGTTGAGATCACAAGTATACTCCACATAGTTGTGTGTATAGGATTTAAAGCAGTGTAAATCTACATGTCCTTATAGTCCTAGTGAGAGAGCGTTCTCTAATAAGGGTCACTTAACATCCAGTTGTTGACGTCAAAGATTTTATGCACTATATATGTAATTGATGTATTTTATTACTGTAACTAAGTGTAACGCAACAAAATTCTGACAATTCCATTGCAAATGGTGGACTACCTAAACAACTTTTCTGCAAATCAACATACCATGTGTTCTTATTTCAAACTGGAAATGTTGCTTTGTTACTCACACGTTTAGATCTGTGTATAACAACCTAATCCAGAGGTATTTTACTGCCCAGCCCCACTAATTGACAACCTTTAACCTTGGCATACTTATAAAGACATCTAATATATTGTATTCAACATTCTTAATCTGTTTGTTAAAATATTTTAAAACCTATACATCTGGTTCTACATACACTGATGTACACAATCTTCCTTAAAAATAAACTGAGAAAGAAAGGAAGATTTTTGTTAAAAATAGACCTAAGTTTGACAAATTATTAAATGTACACCAACATATCATGACATTTCTTGGTAAAATAAATAGCCAAACCCAAATTAAACTGGTACTGTTGCCAAAACTATAAAGAATCAATATTTTATTAGATTTATAACTATTAAAAATCAAATGTATTGTGTATTATAAATCAAAACATACCTAGTCTTTGTCCCATAATCCATGGTTGTTAACAAAAAACATTATTACTTTGCCAAAGTGGTAGACATTTACAGCATAAATACCCATGGTCTTATAAACATCCAATTAACCTCTTATAACAAGAAGCTATCTTCTGGTATATTTTATTTGTTCAATAATGGCTTTAGTTTTATACAACATATATGGAATAAATAAAACAAAAATGCATTAAAATTAAAGCCATGCTTCATAGTGAAACCTGTCTAATCTAGCACTCTCTTAAATTCACTAGTTTTGTGAAATTTCACTAGTATTGAGAAATAATGTCTTCTCTAATGCCTCGTAATGCAACCGGAAGTGGAGTGGACTGTATTAAGAAGCGACCAGACCCTTACAACGGTGTCAACTACCATGAACCAATGAAATCTGGTATTTTGGTCATCAATGCAAGCAGGATGTATATATACACAGAACATAGTCACAGTTTTCATACAAAATGAGGTCACAGCATCATGCTGAATTAAAGAGGATGTTGGAATATCAAAGGGTCAGAATAGACAGGTCTCACTGTAAATACTCTATATGTCATGTTGTAATCATTGTGAAATTCCTTACGATTGAAAATAATACTGGCCATTTTTATGACTTTTTGAAATTTGAACTCAGGATTGAGAAACATGAAAAAGTCAACTTGCGATTCAAGTGAAGAATATTCACAATCAACAACATGTACAACAGAGATCACAGACCAAGCACTTCATAATACAATGGTGGTAGGTTTGTACAAACTTATTTCTAACAATTACAACAATCCTCCTCATTGTAACGACTTTTTGTTTTTCCTTCATAAGGTATACAAACAAAGCCAACACATTTTCCAAATTGAAACTTTTTGACTACTATAGATTTGATGGCACTGCACCTCCCCAACCATTCCCAGCCAACTATAAGGGAATTCTGACCATCTCACTACACCATGTATATGTTGAGGAAGCTTCCCACCGCAACAAAGAAAACAGATCTAGATCATTCTTGTTGGCCTCAATATATATACCGGTAGCCAGTCATTTCATTTGTCAAATGTCTACGTTTGAAGAAACTGGGGGTTTTTTTGGTGGAAAATAAAAATGTTTTGACGTTGCAAATATGTTTTTGCATTCATGCAGTCATTTTTTTCCACATTATGTGGATAACAATAAATGAGTGGTTCTAAATTTTCTTCTTTAAGATTGTTGAGTCCAGTATTGCTGGAATTAAGGGTGTTCAAATTAAAACTGAGTGTCACTAAAGAGCTGTCGTTTGGCAAGAGGCTACATCATAACTGTTCATCAATCTAAACCAAAGCACTTATCAACATGGTCATCAAGAAATATTACTGCCCCATCAAGTCTTGTCAATGGAAGGCACTCAGTAGCAGGACAAACAATGGATGCCACTGACCTCAACAAGATGGTCTCAAACTATAACACAGAATGCTATGGACCGTCATTTTGAGGGTCTGTCTCCCAATGTTAATGGTAAAACAATGGAGCACAATTCATGTCTCTTCAATGTATCTTGCCTTAAAACATGAATGTTGCCATCTGTTGAACAGGGGTTTTCTCAGCACTATTAAACACATGAACTGCTCCAATGATAACTGCCTGTATAACAGGGGTTTTCTCAGCACTATTAAACACATGAACTGCTCCAATGATAACAGCCTGTATAACAGGGGTTGTCTCAGCACTATTTAACACATGCACTGCTCCAATGATAACAGCCTGTACAACAGGGGTTGTCTCAGCACTATTAAACACATGAACTGCTCCTATGATAACAACCTGTATAACAGGGGTTGTCTCAGCACTATTTAACACATGCACTGCTCCAATGATAACAGCCTGTATAACAGGGGTTGTCTCAGCACTATTAAACACATGAACTGCTCCTATGATAACAGCCTGTATGTATAACAGGGGTTGTCTCATCATGTATCACACACAGCACCAACATATCACAGTCACTGTTCCCTGTATCTCAACAAGGATGCTACCTGTGTGGAGAGGGGAAGTCTCGACACACAGTAGAGTAAATGTGGGGGTTGTGGCAGGGACTTTCTCAGCACTATTTTGTGTTCAAATTGGGCATTAATATCAGAATTTGATCCTAGGTGATCTCAGGGGGTTTGAGAGCTGGAGCACAGCAAGCATGTGGACAAAGTAAACACTCTGCATTAGAGTGGGATCAGACAGCACCTTGTAGAATCAAGCAGAGGCTAAAATGCTGTCCGAACCAGTGCCGTTGGTCAGGGGCATGCTAGTCTGGAAATAAGGGGCTATCAGTTCAGAAATCTTCTCCCGGTCACTCTGAAAAATATAAATCACCAATATCAACTAAAACTGTTATGTAATAACATGAATAGCACTGTCATGTTGAACCAATTCTCTTGAAACTATTGGGTACATTGATGTGTGTATGTACAGTAACTAGTTGTACTTTGTGTCAAATTACATGTTTGAAATTAGTGGTAGCCCCATCACAGATGTACGACATAAAGTCAGTTAAAATCACCATCTGTTATGGGAAAAGTCAATTTTCCAATCATTGTCAAAAATTGTAGTTTAATCAGCGATAGTTGATTATGTAAAACCAACAGGTCAGAGATAAGAGAGTGGTCCAACAGCAATATAGATCAAGATCAGTAATACAATGACAGCTTCCAGAGTAGACAGGTTTTACATAAAAATTACAACAAAACATCCCAGCCATCTGATGATTGGCTATAATTAAAGAAATGCAGGAAAGCTGGCAAAGACAAGGGCCTTCTTAGACGGATTACACTGTATCATTGATGTGTTGGTGAGGATTTGTAATCCTATACACGACATATCTCGCATTTCAAGCTATTAAGGTGGCTCCACACTTTCGTAATTAACCAGCGAAATTCGTTGAAACTTTCATATAATGGTTATGCAACTATGTAGAGTTGATTTTATGAAAATCTAAACACTCCGATAGTTAGGGGACTTTTTTGGAAAAAATACCAAAAAATTGAATTTTCGTCAATTTTAATATTTTCCGGGTTTTTTTTGGGTGTGACATTGTTCGGAACAATAACAACAATAATAAAATGAAAAGAAGCATTTCTAATTAACCCTACAAATATTTTATTTATCGCAAAATATGTAACACATGTTACACAAAGTGTTTTTTATTGAATTTGAACGGGTAAAAGTGATTATCTACAAGCTAAAAGCCAACAGGACCCAAGGATCTATACATATAGAATGGGGAATTGAACAAAATATACACAATGGCTTTATAATTAATTTATTTTACATTTTACAATCACTTCGATCCGGGTAAGAGTTATCTTCCTTGAAAAAAATCGGAACTTTTTGCAGAGGGGTGACATTTACACAATGACAGTTGTCCCTGTTTACATATAACAAAAATGATGGAAATAAATCAAAAATATGATATCAAAATTATCAATTTATTGTTCTTTAATGGAACCAAATTACCCTCAGTCATGTACACTTTGGACATCATTCCACAGTCCGCTAACTCACGGTATGTTTATAATTACATGTCAGGTACATATGTGACCAGAGGCTATCGCATGGTATGCCGTTCTCACGTGCACTCACACATGCATTTTATAGGTATCTTGATATTTTACAAAACATTATTTTCACAGAGTAAGTAGACTACATTTGTAAACACGATTTAATCGACAGAGCGAAACTCCCTCAACAGCGAAAATCGTAACGACCTCGAGCTTATGAACTCGTGTTGCACATGTGAGGTCGGTACGTCCGCATTCCATGCGTTTCCTATATGACCTTCTTGAGGTCGTTTGGTCTCATGTCACTATCTTCCCGTGAGTCTGTTTATGTCTATGAATTTGAAAGCTTTATTCCTGAAATACGTGTGATTATACATTTCCCGGTAAAATCTCGATATCGGGTGTTGACATATCATCGGCACGCACGTGTACTATTGTTTACCAGGGGCCTGTTCGTGTATGCGGAGCAACCGGTTTGACCGTTTATAAATGTAACAATTTCGGGTATAAATCCTGGCGGACCTGCAAATGTATATGCAGGCCTTGCAAGGCTTTCTCACGGCTCGCCTGAAAGCAGCATCAGATTACTAGGTCCGACCTTATTTAATGAACGAACAACAGTGGTCCGATCGGTTTGACCGTTTAAACGAAAACGGTCAAGGTGTAACTATAATTTGCACAACGACATTGAATGCCCGATACGCAATACGGAAATGACGACACGGTGTACATGCACATTTCGATCAAGATAATTGAGTCCGAGCTGTACTTTTTCCGGAAGTACGTCACGAAAATGGACGCTGATGACGATGTGTGGAGCCACCTTAAGTGTTGTTTTTTAGATGCCATTATTTTGTTTTGAATCCTAAATATTTCTGAGATTAAATGTCTACGTAAGGTCATGGTCTAACATCGGGGCCACTTTTGTTGATAGCATTCCAAATGATCGGACTGCTTGTATTAGAGCTGTCTGTTTATGAAATAAGACACAGACATAGCAATCAGATTATTTTTCTCCTGGAATGGTTTGACAAAGACCTTTTACATCTGTATCAGATTTCAACCAAGAAAATGTATTAAAAAACAAACATGCTGATTTTTCCACATAAATAAAAAGGCCCAAATTAGTATTCCACAGATAATTAAATAGGACCATTTAGATCTGGAAAAAAATCCTGTTTTTAATATAAATGTCAAATGATACTTGGAAATTTACAGTAACCTATTCAACCTACCTCATTTATAAAACCATATTGCACAAGCTCTTGGGCCAGAATCTGTGAGTTGTCTTCAGACGTTACTTCAGCTTGTAATTTGCGATTTATTTTATCGTCCATTTTTAGTATAAGTGTCAATTGGTAGTTTGAACCATCATCCACTCTTTTCATTTCACATTTCATGTTCATCACAAGTCTTTGTTCTATATCCATACGTTCTGTGTCTTCCATTTTTTCGGATTCTGTGACCTCTGGAGTTTTGGCACGTGGTCGTGGGGGTCGAGGAGGTTTAAGGGTGAAGGCAGTCAAAGGGTAGATTCCATTCCTGTAATCAGATTTTTGACAAGTCCCAATCAAGTAAGTCCCCAGTATCATCAAACAGTGCATTTAGTTAATGTTTCCATTGTTGGTATATTTTGTCATCTTACATTTGTGTCCTGGTTAACAGTACAAAGAAGTGACAAAATACACTTCTTCAGAACAGTGTCATATAAAGACTAACACCCAAAAATTATGTGAATTGACCAAACCTCTGAAATCTTTCTTTTTCCCACATGGTTCTAATTTTCCCTTTTTTCTAACCAGTCTATACTTCTGCGAAAAAAAAAGTTTCAATGGAAATATTGCTTGAAATTTTATCCGGCAATTACGATTTTTAGCTAAAATTCACAAAAAAAATATTACAAGTACATTCCATACAGATATATTACCTTTGTGCTTACAGGTGTATATAAATCAAAACCTACACCCCTTGCCTTTACATGATCTACGGTTTCCCTCACAGTACCTGTGTTTTACAGTACCAATTAGTTACTTACCGAACATCTTCTAGAAATTTCTCCATCTCCAGTGGAGGGCACTGTGATAACCTAGGCAATACAAAGTCAACAAAATCATAAAATATCATGTTAAAAGGAACAACATGCAAATAACTTGTTCATTTCATATCGGTTTCGAAAAAAAAACCCAAAAAACTCTTATTGGGAAATGAACTTTACATCTAAATCTTATCTAACCCCTAGCCACATGATAGTGAATCTTCATTGCATTATGCTTTCATTACCTAACTAAACATTTTTCAGGATAATTGATCTTGCCATCATCTGTAAAATATTGACATCAAAAGGAGACTGCCTTGTTATGAAGTGATAAAAGGGTTAGCAGTCACTTGTATTCAATATGTTAAAGATACTTTTTTGGTTTTCAGTTTAACTTAAAAAAGAAAACAAATACAATTTTACTTAATTTTATTTTCTGTCTGGTCATTGTTAAAACAGCTTTTCACACACAGTTCCCTTGTGATGAACATGTAGACAACAAAATATGTTGCGAATAACTTGTATAATGACAATTTGACACTCCTTGTTAGATAACAAGTCCTTTAGTATGTGTCATATTCTGTTACATACTCTAGTAGGGAGTATTTCATTGATAGCTGATGAAGGATCTCGGTCTTCATCACTCTGTTACCTTTACTTCAATTATCTTAAAACTCCTAAAAAATAGTAAGACAAAACCATATAAAATCAGAGTGTATCATCACATGGAAAATCAAAGTGATACTCACTTATAATAGACGGGCTCTCGCTCGTCGTTGTGTCGGATTTCTGCTATCACTCGATTTGGCTCCAACTTTTTGATGTTCGACTCATCTGAGTTTTCTGGGAGAATGGCTGAAACACATACATTTTTCATTCTAAATGAAACACTTCTGCCCCAGTCTATAATTACACAGAGAAAACAAAACTTAATCTCAAACAGCCTAGGCCTGGGGAAAAAGTTATTCACTCAATCAATATTTGTACAGAAAAGAATAGATTATAAATATATACACCAGAATGTATATATATATATATATGAAGGCAGCTACAAAATTAAGCCAGGGTGGACTTACGACATTTTCCATGGCTCTGTGTTGTTTTTTTGACAAATCAAATCTCTCATATTTTTAAATTAAAAGGAATTTAGTTCATAAACTATTACAAAATTAGGAAACGTCTGTGAAATATGACTGCTCCCAAAACCGTGCAAAGTACTTTCACTGCTTTGCAATTTTCTATAAATAGTATGATGACTCTGGACTTCACTTTGGAAGACTGAAACACAAACTCATTCATGGGACAGGAGACTTCTGTCACGTCTGTATAAAGTTAACGTGAAGTCGCGGTAGAGATGATGCTGCAAGGGAATGGGACAGGCATAACAAACAGTTGAACACAATCCAACTTCTACATAACTACAGGAGAAATTTAGCATGCTACCAAGCTCAACGCCCATAGTAGAACTGATAAAGACATTTTAATTGTCAAACAATTGAACACAATCCAACATCTACATAACTACAGGAGAAATTTAGCTACCAAGCTCAAAGCCCATAGTAGAACTGATAAAGACATTTTAATTGTCAAACAATTGAACGAAATCCAACATCTACATAACTACAGGAGAAATTTAGCATGCTACCAAGCTCAAAGCTCATAGTAGAACTGATAAAGACATTTTAATAATAATAAATGAACAATCGACAAGGAAGCTGACAAGCACCACAAGACCACTGACCACAATACAAAACAATTGGGTGACTTGGCCAGTACATGTATTGCTTGTGATTTATACATTATGTACATCCTATAAGCTTGGTAGGACCTAACTATAGGATATATGACAACTACAAATCTCTACAACACTGGACAGCCGTACATCTATATACATTTACATTTTTGGCTGGTAGGGGCTTTTAATTAATTAATCCAACTAGACATATCTCTAATAGGTCTTGTGGATATATCTGCACCCCACATAATATAAACAAAAAGGAATCGAAGTTGCAGTGCTCCTATTTGGTATGTGAAATATTGCTTGGCCATGATGTATGAATATGCATGTACAAAGTATCTCTCTAGATGAATCTTCATCTAAGACATGGCCCAGAAACCAGTGTTGTGATACTTATAATCAAGGTCAGAAGTCAAATAGAGGTTGTAATATTCCCACTTTTGTATGTTACTGTGCTTTTTAATGATATATCTCCATACCAAGTCCATACACGACACAGAGGCTGAGATGTGCCTTGGAAACCTGTATTTCTGCATCTGAGATCAAAGGTTAAAGGTAAAACAAAAGCTGCATTGCGTTCCAAAGTTTTCTCGCTCTTGTATATCCTTAAAACCAAACCACTTTGTTTTAAGGAGATAACAGATCTAATAGGAGATCTTCGGAGATACTCACAAAGACTGCCGACAAAGGTGTGTGCCGCTAGGAGCTGGAGTGAATGGACTTCAAATAGAACTGCGTGGAACAGGAGCTCTCTGGCTGCTGGGCGTAGACTAGCATCTTTCTGTATACACTTGGAAATGAAGTCCTACAATAACCAAACAATTGTCCAAATATTTGTTCTTGATGAACTGTTGTTGTAGTGGAGTAACTTAAATTCCATTAAAGTCCAATTTCAGCTTTCAAAGTCAGTCAACCCAAGAAATATACATGTATTAAAATGTTCTTTCTTACATAAAGCTGAAATAAGTTTATATGATGCATGTAAAGAATGCTAAGAACTTTGAATTACAATAAATAAAGAGATTTGACATTTCTGCTTTCCCTACTGATCCTTATTTTAGTGACCATCTAAATCTTGTTTGGTAGATTAAACACCAGTACAGTTCATGTCTGATATGTGGTCTTTATATTATATTAACTTTTAAGAATTCCTGTTCCTCAGAAGGCAAAACACAAGAGACTTTCACTGTAGTTTTTATTGTTTTCCAAAAGTGATCACAACAATTTTTCTACTTCAATATATCATATTATCAATAGGCTAATCTAAAGAACTTGTATTAGTTTAAGACTATTCAAGTAAAACATCTATCTTACTCAAGGACTTAAGGTTTTATTCAGGGGTACCCACCGTAAAATTTAAATAATATTTTGCATAGAAGTAAATGGCAGAAAGCTCAACAATGGACAGAAGTGGAGTCCTGGGTTTGGGTGATATTTGATTGGAATAGTTTTTATCAGTTTTTGTCTGTAACCAAAAACAGGAGTTAAAATGATACTGTCCTTAATGTTATTGATAGAAAGAGGAAGGACTCCTGGGAATGGTAGTCTTACCCTTTGTAAGCCATTTTCCAGCGACTCGAGCGTGCTCTTGACTCCCTCTTCACTAATGTGGTTACCGCCACCATCCCCTCCGTTGCCTTGGATCCCTAGAGCAGCAATCTACAAACATATCAAACAAGTGAATCTAAAAATTGCAGACGCTGGACCAATAATTGGTCGTGCTGTTTCATGTTTAGTGGTATCCCTAGGAGGTTTAACAATACACTGTATTTCCTAACCATGCTGCTGTCTGATAGATTTCTATACCATATTTTCAGTAAAATTATATTTCACTTATGTCTTTGGAGAATAAAACAATGACATCCCCCAAAAAAACATATTAAGGTCCCATAGTCAATGAAGAGTTTCCAACTGATTTTTTTTTCAAAGGTTGATAAAATGGATTCTTCTCTTGGAAATAAGTTGCCTCTAATTTCTGCGAAATAGCAAATGACATTGTGTAACAAGCCATCACAAGTGATACAAATCCCCTCGCAATCAACACAGTGTGATATATCTAAGAGGAAATGAAGTGGCTAGAGCGATGACAACGTTTTTCTGAAAAAAGTTACAGTGACCTTGAACGTAGAAACCCGAAATGCGATACTGAACACTTGTATGAAGTTTCATGCAATTCCAATGAGGAATGAAGTCGATAGAGCAATGACAAAGAGTGCAACATACGTTCATACATACATTCGTTGGGAGGGGATATAAACATTTTTTATAGAACTTTTTGTTTGTCACACTTAGAAACTATACTATCATAATTAGTGGAAAATGTATCTGCAACACTTATCTGTTAAGATAATATCAATTTTAATATAAAACCCTCTGAACTTACCTCAAGAGCACACATTCCAAAAGAAAAAATATCTATAGCAGTCCCGAAGCTTTCTGAAAGAAAATAATAAGTCACATCAATAATCTAAAATGAATGCATGTAAACATTTCTTTGATATAAACAGGAAACTACCTAATTTTAGACATAAGTAGAATTAATTTACTATGAAGATTTGTAGTCCGACACGGTTGATAGCAATGAGAATAGTTTGTTTTGTTGAATATAAGGATTTCCCTCTATACTCCGGAACCACACAATGTATGTTACGGATATCTGACACAGTCTAAAGCAAGGAGAATAGTTTTGCAGCAATGTATATTTACATTTGCTCTGCATCATTCCATTGCAATGCATTGAGAAGGTAAATGTTGTTGTGTGACTACAACACTTGCTATTGTAACATCATCAATCTCTATTGTTGTCAAGACTTAATTTGCTGTTTAAAGAACTGTTCGAAATAACTAAATATAGCGTAACTTCTCTATAAAAATGTAAATATAAATAATGAATATTTTAGCAAATACTGTTATGGTCCTATAACACACATTTCTATTGCTGACAAACTTACAAAAAGTCAGTCTTCAACAAGAAGAACAGTTTGTTTCAATGTATAGTGGGTTTTACCTCCATACTCCGGAGCCACACAATGCATGTTACAGATATCTTACAGTCTTATACAAGGAGAACAGTTTGTTTCAATGTCTAGTGAGTTTTACCTCCATACTCGGGAGCCACACAATGCATGTTACAGATATCTTACAGTCTTATACAAGGAGAACAGTTTGTTTCATGTCTAGTGGGTTTTTCCTCCATACTCCGGAGCAACACAATGCTTGTTAGAGATATCTTGCAGTCTTATACAAGGAGAGCAGTTTGTTTCATGTCTAGTGGGTTTTACCACCATACTCCGGAGCCACTCAATGCATGTTACAGATAGCTTACAGTCTTATACAAAAAGAACAGTTTGTTTCATGTCTAGTGGGTTTTACCACCATACTCCGGAGCCACTCAATGCATGTTACAGATAGCTTACAGTCTTATACAAGAAGAACAGTTTGTTTCATGTCTAGTGGGTTTTCCCTCCATACTCCGGAGCCACTCAATGCATGTTACAGATAGCTTACAGTCTTATATAAGGAGAACAGTTTGTTTCGTGTCTAGTGGGTTTTACCACCATACTCCGGAGCCACTCAATGCATGTTACAGATAGCTTACAGTCTTATACAAGGCGAACAGTTTGTTTCAAGGTCTAGTGGGTTTTTCCTCCATACTCCGGAGCCACTCAATGCATGTTACAGATACCTTACAGTCTTATACAAGGAGAACAGTTTTTTTCATGTCTAGTGGGTTTTTCCTCCATACTCCGGAGCCACTCAATGCATGTTACAGATATCTTAAAGTTTTATACAAGGAGAACAGTTTGTTTCATGTCTAGTGGGATTTACCTCCATACTCAGGACCCACACAATGCATGTTAGAGATATCTTCCAGTCTTATACAAGTAGAACAGTTTTTTTCAATGTCTAGTGAGTTTTCCCTCCATACTCCGGAGCAACACAATGCTTGTTAGAGATATCTTGCAGTCTTATACAAGGAGAACTGTTTGTTTCAATGTATAGTGGGTCTTACCTCCATACTCCGGAGCTACACAATGCATGTTACAGACATCTTACAGTCTTATACAAAAAGAACAGTTTGTTTCATGTCTAGTGGGTTATAGCTCCCTACTCAGGAGACACACAATGCATGTTACAGATAGCTTACAGTCTTATACAAGGAGATCAGTTTGTTTCAATGTATAGTGGGTTTTACCTCCATACTCCGGAGCAACACAATGCATGTTAGAGATATCTTACAGTCTTATACAAGGAGAACAGTTTGTTTCATGTCTAGTGGGTTTTACCTCCATACTCCGGAGCCACACAATGCATGTTACGGATATCCTTTCTGTACGTCTTCACATGGTGCATAGCATCAGGAGCCACTAAAACAATCAACACACTATATTAATTTCAAGGAAAAGACAACATTACACAGACAACACATATGTATGTCTTCAAAACACTGGCAACTTCTTTTAAGACTTTCCTCTCCAACTACTCTTTATTTGTATGTAAACATGCAACACTAGATATGTGGACAATCAATTCGTTCATCAAGGGCAACGACTGCACTTGAATAAACATCTTTTACAAATATTTCAAAACCTGAGATCTGACACACGTTGGCCCACTATCATGGGTTATGATGACCACAACAGAGTTGTTGACCAAAGCGGCCCTTACCTGAGCCAATCTTGATGAGACCATTGTGCTGAATGAAGATGGTATCACAGGTGAGGTTACCGTGGATAACTGGCGGCACACAGGAATGTAGGTAACTGTAATTAGACATTGAATGCATCAATTTCTATTATAAATTTACATCAGATATGTGAATAGCTTTCATCATTTTTGTAAACCATCCAAAATTTCTTATTATTATCCTTTTATACTCCTCCCAATGATTACAGAAGTACTAAAGTTGATAACAAAAATACAAGCTCAAGATTTCTCTTTGAAAAGAAAAAAAAAGGCACTCCTCTACTCGTCAATGAATACCTCAAAAGAAAATAAGAAATACATAAATTGAGACTCTCATCTATAACACAGATTTTTAAAAACTTACAATATTCATAAATTTAACAGGGTTCAACTATTGCCTACCTTAAAGCAGACAGGATTTGTGTGCACCATCTCTTCCAAGCCTGCAAATATCAAAGAAAGAGTTAAGAATCTACCAGTAAGACAAAAATATATACGTTATCCAACACTAAAAGAAAAGCTTCTGTGTATCACAGTATATTTGTCAACATGTTTCATCTTCTAGGTACTCCAGGGGTTACACTCAGTCATCATCAGGAGTAATTAAATAACTGAATGACTTTAACAGCTGAAGTCGCTGGGATTATACAAATATATTTCAAAAAAATAATATACTGTAGTGAAACAATATATTGGTTCAGATTATAGACAGGATAAGCAAATGTACAGATTGAATTTGGTAGTACATGTAACACAATTACAGCATTATCTTGCATTACATAAGATTTTGGAATAGTCTAGGGTCAAATAAGACATGTTTCATGATATAGTATCCAAGTTAAAACTACATAATTTGTTATAATGAATTCAAATTCTACATAATTTTGTTTAAATTTTATTAAAGGAGTACATGCATAACAAGTTAGCTAACTATGATTTGTTGTGAACCAAGTCTGTCACAAGGAGTAAAATGAAACCAATATTACTTTTAACTGGAATGTCTTGTTGTTCTTCTTTGTCTTCTTTAGGAACTGCTTCAAAGATCCCGATGACATGTACTCTGTTATAAATATCACCTGCAACAGAACAGTCATTTAAGCTGGCTGGATTTGAGAAATCACAGCTAGTTTTCACACAGCAAATGAAATGAAAGAAGTGTCCTCTGTGATTTATAGGGTGAATTTGGGATCTTATGAAGGTCCTTTTCCCCAGAAAAATGTTTGCTGTGTTTTCCCAAATTCAATGTAAAAGTGACTTTATTTTCCCAAAATCATGCTTTTTGTGTGTGATATCTTCCCAAAGTTACAAGACATAGGCCCCTGTGTAAAGGAGGTCAATTTTTTTGAACAGTACTGATAAACACTTCTAAATATTACATGGATCTACTAAGATATTACTGTCAGATAAGAAATGCAAGGATGTGTTTTGTAGAGCATTACAAATACATGTAGTACATATGTTCCAATTTATGGAGATCCTTAAGGCACATATGACTGACAAATATCATGTGATTTGTGAACAAACTGCACTTACCCTAGGCTTCCCGTCTTTATTGTCAGTCCAATACTTGTGGAACTTCACAATATTTGGATGGTCAAGTTGTATGAGATTGTCAAACACTTGTCCAATCTTCTCCTGTAAATTAAAAGTAAAAATGTACCACAGGACATTGATAAATGTTACCTTAAAAGTTTACAATTCATATCTGTGCTTAAATAAGAATTATCCCCCTTGGTTCCTTTTATCATAATCATAGTTTGATGTGTTTAATCATTTGCAAAATACTGTTTTCATATGTATTCATTTTGAAGTCAGTTGATTTTTTTCCCCAGTTATTTGCCAATGGCAATGGATTACAAGTTTTATTATTTAGGAAACTTGATTGAAAAATACCTTACTTTTAAACAGAACTTGGTAGAAAGGATAGGTTTCTAAATATGATACCTCTTTGGCTGTGCAATTGTTACATTGAGTAGCACATTTGTCTCTTCTTAAACTCAAATGGTTATCTTGAAGTTACCTCTTGTGCCTTGAGATTCCTGTTTTCTGAGAATTGTACTTCATTCCACACCACCTCCACCCCTTCCTCTGTGTCCATGGCCAGGAATGCATTGTCGATGCTAGGGACATCACGCTGCTCAACCTGAGAGCAATAGATTGATGAGTATATAATTTTAAATGGTCTTTCTCTCTAAGCTAAAGCATTTTTAGTTATATTTAATTTAAACAAAAAAATAAAACAAATACATATGCTGTTGACACAAAAATTGTACCATGAAAATGTCTTGATAAAACCTCAACTTGTAGAGGTTAAACTAGTTGGCTATGTAAATCAAAACACCCACTTAATTGATGGTGCCTGAATATGTTGTGATTAAATCCCCTTCTATCATAGTTAAAATTATGACAAAGCATTTCTATTTCACCAAAATAATTCCTTATTAGGGGAGAGAGATAAAAGCTGTCACTTGTTTCATCACAACACAGATACTAGCGTCGTCCGTCAAAACACCCATAATAGGTGTATTGAAAACACCCATAATAGGTGTATATTGACAGACGTGGTTAGTACCTGTAATTATCATAAGTGTATTATAACGTAGCTATTTGGAAATAGTAATAAATGAAAAGCAGTGTTAAATTGAGCAATGAACCTGCAGCTGTTTTACATTAGTGATGATAAGATGTTTCCTTAAAAAGGTTATAACCATTCAAAGATATATTATACAGGTCTCTGATCCACTGTAGGTTAATAACTATATTGTATTGTGTAACAGTACTATAAGATCAGTCAAAAGCAATTTTAACGAATACCATGCATATCATATGATGAACAAGGGCAATGTATTACTAGTGTCATATACGTCTCTCAAAAAACAATTTATGAACAAATGTTTTGACAATCGTCAATCTGAAAACGAAGTCATGACCTAATGTTTTGACAATAGTGTTGAATGACAGCTGTCAGATCATATGTATTTTTAGGGTCACGTGTACTGAGCAATGTAAAGAACAGGTTCAACAATGATTGTGTCCATTTTAGCTGAAATTTGATTAGTTAAAAAAGCAAAATAACATCAATGTCAAAAGTTAAAAAGTAAAATATTCGATATTCAATTGCTAACAATTTATCAAACAGGTCAACACTTCCGAGATCGATGAGGGTTAGGTGAGCGGGACGCATGAGTTATTTCCCTTGTACTGTCTTGAGACCGACGCATAACTAATAATCATACAAACCTCCTCCCGTCGTTTTTGCCATCGGCCACATGGACTTTCTTCTAAAACCTCACTTTCGTCCTCAGATTCATCAGCGCTATCTGATTTAGCAGGGTTTTCTTGGTCAACCTCTGCCATATTTGACAACTGACGGGCACTTCCTCACTGCCTCAGTTTTTGCAGCAAGGAGCAATTGTCTGTGGCTGAAAATTATTGGCTAAAATAACAATATTTCACCCGAATTTTCTTATTTAGGGCAACTTACTCTTTAGAAAATCAATCAGACGACTATTTGTTAGATATAATTCCACATAATGTTTTATTTACTTTATATGAGGTAGTATCTCTTATATATTGGCCAATAAATGATGACAGAATATTTGCTGCTCCGATTATGTCACGTGAGTCCATCCGACAAACCGCGAAATACACACATGTAGGGTTTTAGTATACACGTAAAGTAAGTCGAATCTCATAGTGACTGCTTTAGCCATGGGTGTGTATCTGTCTACGCCAAACACAGAGAAAATCTCTACTGATCAAGAATGCAGTAATTTCACATATGGAGCGTCATCAATGCAGGGATGGCGAATGTCTCAAGAGGTATCACCATGACAAGAGTGTTTCAGTGTAGAATCGGACTTCACTAAACTGTTTTTCAATGACTGGTTAAGTTTGTTTCAGTTTGAACAGTCCTGTAAGATTGATGTTTATAGATTCTACGTCTTAAGAAAACCCTTAAGGGTTCCTGTTGATTTGAGTGGATGACAATAGTGACCTCTAATAGGAAATCATTTGTCCTGGTATGCAAAATGAAAATGGGGCTGTTTCATCATCATTGTATTATTAAGAAATTGATTCAAGACTGTTCTCTGAAACATAGTCTAAATATATTTATAAATGTGCAAGCGTTACATTTTCGAAAACATGTTAAATATGACATTATTCAATAAATCTTTGAAGATGACCTGCAAGTACAAAGTTAAACCCCAATATGCCATAGAATTCTGGTACATGGTAATTATATATAAAAAAACCAACAATTCTGGTATTTCAACAAGACATATACTGTCTTGTGTTTGGTTATAGGTTTTGAGGGTTGTGGTACACACAACAGCTGCTCATGAGATGTACCTTAATGGAATATGATAATGACCAGACTTTTAATAGACTTAAAAGTGTATCGACCAGTTGTGTGTAAATTTAAGTTTAATTTAAAAATTTACTTGAATTGTATGCCAAGTCACTATTACATCATTAGTGGACCTCTGTTGAGGTAAGTACAATAATACATCAACATGAGTAAATATAATTTTTTGAATGTTGACAAATCATTGCTTCAACCTCAACAGAGGTAAATAATTGTCGTAGTATGTAACACATACTCAACTTAACATGCAAATGAAGGACTGCATCCAATATGGACCATTTGCACCTTTCTGCGGGGTAAAAAAAAGATTTCTCGAGACCATCCACACCTGAAGATTATAGTTTCAAAGTTAATCAAGCAGTACTGAATGTTCGGGGGAAAATAAATTTACTATTAAAAAGATTATTTAAAAACTTGAAACACAGGAAAATCCTTGTTATGTGCTATTTCTCAGTGCATGCTCCAGCTAATGAATGTGAAATCAACCTCTAAGGTCAGTTAATACTACAGTTAACTGCAAATTTAATTAACAAAAAAGTTTAAACATATATATTAATATTTTTCAATAAAAACAACAACTTTCCTTCTTGTGACACTTGGGTAAATCAAATCCTGCTTATTCATATTTCACTACATTTTGGATTCTTTAAATACAGTTATGTAGGCCTACTGAAAGTAGTGCAATTAATAATGTTGTAGCCAGTTGGGCAGATTTTTTCACATGGTGATACCGGGTATATGTGCCTCATTTGCATAGTTGCATTGAATCAGTTTCTTTCCTTGTTCATTGTACATGTGTGCATTGTAACCCGACAGAGGCCAGACAAAAAAATGTGTGTTTCCTGTAACATGTTGGAAAAATTTAAGGCTTTTAAAAATTGCTTTAAAAAGTTAAGTGTAGGCCCTAAAAAATTAGGATTGGTAGGGTTACCGGAGACAACACATACTTTTTTGCTTGGCCTCACATGCATGCACCAGCTGAACAGCTTAAGTTTCTTACTTGAGCATCTATAATTTTGTGTAGTTTGAACATGTTCAGTAATCTTCATTTCATTTTGTTCAAACTGACAGGTTTATGTCGTCAACAAAGCAGGTCTGAATCAATCGGATTGCAGAACATTTATAAGCCATATGATATTCATAATCTGGCTACTTCACCAGAACATTTATAAGTCCTATGATAATCTGGCTACTTCACCAGGCAATTACTGAAGCTCTGAAAGATTTTTCGCTAGATGGATTTTTTTCCAGTTTTAAGGATCGAAGTTGTGAATTTTCCAGCATTTAAAAAAAATATATAACTTGAATGCTTATAAAATGTCAGAATTTTCCTGGTTTTGCAAGACAGTCAGTTTTCACTGCTTAAATGGTGCTGTATTGGTTCACTGCAAAAATAGTATGGTAACATAGCTGTTATAACCTGCTGACATGATGGGTTGCATTATAATAAACAAACAAAAAAGGAAAAAAATGAAATTGAAACAAAAATGTAAGAATGTAAATGGTAACAGTTGGTGCCCAGATATAAATCTATGTAGACATACAATATTTTCAGGGAATATTGTATAACATAGAAAATATACAACACAAAAATGATGTTGTATACCGCATTGTTTGCTGCAGCATTTGTAATTCTTGCTGTTGATTAGTTGAAAATGTAGTTTTTTGTACAAAACACTTTTGCTTTTATCAGAAATGAGTATATAGTCATTAACTAGAACTTGAAAGTGTTGTCTTGTCTTTTTAAATTAGATTATATGGAATAACCATAATCATACTAGCCAACTCTCCTGATTTTGGACCCTTAGCTTACATTTAGTATTTTCAACCAGTTAACTTGCCAAACTATTTCTATATTCTAAGATCATTTACAAAGTATGACATTTTTGTTTGTACTTTTTTGCGCAAAAATAAAAAAAAAAATACTCTTGCAGGATGCCCACAACTGTATTCCAAGTTTTGACGGGAGTAATACAGCCTTCTTTGCTGTGTATGATGGCCATGGAGGTATGTTATATACTTTTGTAGACTTGCAGCCAAATACAGGCCGTTTCCCCTAGCTAAAAAGTGCCTTATTTTCCCAAAATGACCCAAAACTGAGGATTATATTGCCAATGTCAATACAAATAGTGCTATATTTTCCCCATTCATAAAGGAACAGACTGTTATAAAACTCAAGTAACAAAAACACTGTTGCTGTTGTCTTGTGCTGTTTGCAGTTTCCTTCGGGATAGGCATCTGTAGCAAGTTGTTTGTCAGGACATTGTTTTTGTCTGAACAATCTTTTGAAAAAAATGGGAAAGATAATAACAATTCTATTCAGAAATATCATTAAATCTGTTAATCAGTCTCGTTTTGAAATGCTATGTTATATACAATTGTACATCACATATGCCACATTATCTCGACACCTTTTGTCCATGTTCTGATAAAGAATAGATGATATTGAAACATTACATTTGATGTATTGACTTTATGTATATGGATCAAGTAAGCAGCACATATATGCAGTGATGTATATATGAAAATTGTATTTAGTTTGATAACAGGTTAATGTGATCATTTCAAGTCTTTGACAGTTGTTGGCACTATCCTGAAACAGAAAGCAAAGATACTGACATGTCCCAAACTAGAAGGAATTTAAAGTTGAATTTTGAAAACTTTTTCAGGTGCTGAAGTTGCTCAGTATTGTGCAGAACATTTCCCTGATTACTTAAAGACCCTTGACAAGTTCAAAAACAAGGAAATAGGTGCTGCCCTGGAGGAAGCCTTCCTGGGCTTTGACAGCCATCTTCTTACAGAGGAGGTCCAGAAAGCCCTCAAAGTGTCGGCAGGTTTAGATGATATTGTTGAGGATGAAGAAGGTATGATTGAATGAGAACAGTACTAAGCAGGTTAATTTGGACATTCAAATTTTCCTTTCCACATGTTTTCCTTTTTGAACAGTTATGTTTCAATATATTGTTCATAGCTTGCAGACATTTTTCTCTTAAGAGAATGCCGCTATTTCTTCTGTTAGACTTAGTGTTTGGCTATATTTCCATCAAAAATGGAGCAAAGTGATATATATATGTTATTTTGACACCTTTTGGCACTGTTAATTCTTCCCTTTTCTTATATAAGATAAAACATATCCTCACTGCAGTGTAATGTACTGAATATTTCAACGTAATTGATGAGTAATGTGACAGTAAGGTAGCTGCTAACTGTAGTGTTTTTCATCGAGAGTGGTCTTTTCAACCTAAAATTGGTCCTAAAGAGGTTAGGTTGAGATATTAGGTAGCCCGTAATCATGGACTAAACATATTGACACAGATTAATTCACTTTTATATGGTCCAGAATATATCTGTGTATTTTCAGAGAAAGTTCGACAGAAAAATGAGGCAGAAATGTTGCGACAGGAAGCAGAAATGCCAATAGAAGAGCTAATGGCACAATATGAAGGTGCTGGCATGCCGGAAGAAATAAAAAACCTTCGCAAGAAAAAACAAATTAATTCACCGATGATCCGTGCCAAGAAGCAATATTTTGGCCAGGGTGATGAAAAGGATGAGGATTTGAAGGACAATGTGCCACTTGAAGGGTCGGTCATCCCATTGCGGGCCACCGCCAACATCCAGGAAAAGTTGGCCAATGGCCATGCTGAAAATGAAAACAATTTAAACAGAGAGAAAGAACAGAGTGACTTTCTACAGAAGGCCCAAGGAGGCTCTGCAGCCTCCTCTGCCAGTGATATCAGGAAGATGGAGTGCGATAGTGTGATTAAGACAGACGAGGAATCCATACCAACCTCGACGCAGCGAGTGGAGTCATCTGAGGCTTGCTCTTCATCTGTATTATTATCATCATCATCATCATCATCGCGTAGTGGGGGACAATCAGTACAAAATGCCAGTGTTTCTAGCACGAACAATAAACAGGAAGCAGTGGTGAGTAAGTGTGAAGTAGAAGAGTCGTCTGAGGCAGACAGCACATCCCAGGAGATGGAAACAGCACAAAGAGGGTCATCTAGTCAAAAGTTGGAGATCGATGAGAGTCCGTCATCAACCCGTGCGACGGACAGCAATGTAGGGGGATCTGCAGGTAGTGCACACACTGACCACATCAGCAATGGAGATTCTGGAGGGTCCGGTCAGGTAATTGGAACTCCAAAACTAGGAGTATATAGAGATTTTGGGTATTCCATGAACCTTTTACTGTATCTTATAGATCATCCTTGAAAAATAGCAGAATTCTGAATACCTAACAATTAGCTTTTATGTTGGAGTAATTTTCTTCATAAAAAAGTGTCTGATAGAACTGGTACATGTAAATGTGGACACTGGTAGGTCTTTTGCACCAATATCTATTTTCAAAACATGAGGCATATTTCACAAATAAAAAGAAAGAATGACAAGTGAAGATAGGGCAATGTAAATGAATATTCATGTTTTTGGATTTATCCAACAATCAGTTAGCTTTTGCTGATTTTTTTTTCTACTGAATCTCAAAATATTTTCTCTACCTGTACTTCCCTTTGTGTAAATACTGAATAATTAAGTTATTGGAGGACAATTCCAAAGTATTTGTCTTCAAGTAGGGTATTAGGGTGATTAATGAAATGATGTCTCTTCTCAAAATTGAGATACTTCTCAGAGCTTTGCTAAATGAAATATATCTGAACCGATAGGTCTAGGTATGTTTTACTTCTAAGTATTCATATTATTAAAACATAAACTTCATTTATTTCACAAGAGATTCAGGCCTATTGGGCCTCTTATTTGAAACATGTTGATAAAAACCTCCATATATTGCTGGTAACCATTACTAACTTTGCTTCTGATGGATTTGATTTGCTACAGAGTAAAGAAACATCGCCATTAGGGGGGAAGAAGCAATGTAAGAGTAGGCATGTAGAGGATATAGATAGTGGAGAGGAGGATTTAGATGACGAGGACAGTGAAGATGAAGATGTGGAGTTCAACAGGTATTTTTGTTCGCAGCATATGTCGTTTAAACAACAATGCTTTACGGACAACTGAAATATGTGCCAGTTGTTATCATATTGTTATGGCTAACAATATTAAACTTTTCCTGTTAAATCTTTTTGGAGAGCAGCGTTAGTGGCTCTGACATGATGTTCTGGATTCAAAGCGATCACCTTCAGATAATAGACTCAAAATACTCTTATTTTAAACAGATTTGAACTCGATACTATTGTATCCTGTCTCAGGTTTAATGAATTCCAGTGCTATCGTTTATATTGTGTGTTTATATTTTGGTAGTGACGAGGAGGAGGAGGATGAGAGTGACGACAGCGAGGAGAGTGAGGAGGAAGAAGAAGAGGACGATGATTTATGTTATCCAACTACCAATGATCAGAACAATGATGAGGTATGTATCCCTGTTGTGATCAAATAGGTTTATAAAAATATAGCAAAATATTTCAAAAAGATTCCCAATCATATTCGTCTCTCTGGATGAAACGAACAAGAGTCCGAACAATGATGAGCCAATATCGCTGTGATGATAAAATAGTTCTACAAAAAAGTAACAAGCTACTTTAAAAAGAAATCCCAATCACATTGGTCTCTTTAGATGACTTTTAATCTCAGAGAATGAACAAACATCAGAACAAAGATGTGGCAAATCCTATATGATCCAATAAATCTGTAAAATGTAAAAGGTCACTAAAAACAAAGACTCACAATCACATTGTTCTGGTTATATAATTACAGGACTTTAATTTCATATTGGCCTCCTTTTACTTGATAACAACAAAAGAACAATTTGTCTTGTTAGATGAGTTTTAGTTTCATAAAAGACTGGGTTTTATGAAAAAAAGATTAAAAAGGAGATATGATTTGTTGTTGGTAGCCTGGGTACTGTAGTGGGTGTACGTCAGTGGTGGCTGTGATCCGGGACAAAGAGGTGGTTGTGGCCAACGCCGGAGACTCGCGCTGTATACTGTGTAGGGATGGCAAAGCCCTGGACCTGTCATTTGATCACAAGCCAGAAGATGATATAGAACGCAATAGAATAGTGGCAGCAGGGGGCAAAGTCACCAGTGATGGACGGGTCAACGGGGGACTTAACCTATCTAGAGCCATCGGTCAGTAACCTGCTGTCTCTGTAGCATTTCTCAGTTTTAAATGATAAGTGTTCACATCTATCAGGAATTTTCCTGGGAAGTGTTATTGAATTTGTACTTCAAATAAATTTGCTTTCATTAGCACCAGCTTTAAGTTCACCAGCGATACACCAGCAATAAATAAGTTGGGTGTGTATGATGGCAGCTGCTGGTTTAAACCTGTTAATTGATCAAGGAAATGTTTGTTTATTCAAACCAGAGTACAAAAAATCTCACGGAAGAAAACAAATATCTCAACTTTCTTTGTAATGTTTGTTCTTTATCAGCAGATCTTTATTACCATATATGGGAAAGATGTGGAGATGGGGTTTCTAATGCAGGTTTGACTGTTTACAGGTGACCATTTTTACAAGAGAAACAAGGACAAGGATGCAAGGGAGCAAATGATCACGGCCCTACCAGATCTTCAGTCTGCCACGCTGCAGGAGACCGACCAATTCATGGTGCTCGCCTGCGATGGCATCTGGTGAGTACACAAATGCATGGTGTTCATCCATTAAAAATTCTTTTTATCTGAAGTTACATAGTTTATTATCCTATGTTGAATGATCTGGAAATCTTGTTTATTGACAGTAATGATATTAAAAAACAATTTATTTTGTTTTAACAACATGGGTTTGATGTCACCCATTATGCAAAGTGCAAATTTGAGGTGAAAATATTGAAAGAGAAAAAAATAGATTTTTTTTTTAATGTGTTCAAAGACTAGAGGATTTATTCCTTGAAGACAAATTGCTTTATTTGACTTAATAATAAACCATGAAAAGTAGTATTAAATATTGTTATAAAGTGTGTTGGGTGTTTTATTTTTGTGAGGATTGATGAATAGGATTGACTTGTCAACTTCATTCAAAGATTTGGGAACATAAAATGCCTTCATCTGTGCGAGAAGCTGAAATAAACCATTGATTAGCTGTAAAGATTTATCACTTGTTATTGTCAACTTTTTTAACTTTTAGGAACTACATGACCAGCCAGGAAGTTGTTGATTTCGTTTCTGAAAGATTAAAGGATCCTGAGAAGAAGAAGAAACCCTCTGTGATCTGTGAAGAGGTGTGTATTTTATCCTGACATTTTTTTTTTGATAAAGTACTCTACATTTATGAAGCACAATCAAAATCATTTTAGTACATTACATTTATGAAGCACAATCAAAATCATTTTAGTACATTACATTTATGAAGCACAATCAAAATCATTTTAGAACATATTATAATAGAACAATAATAAATAAGTGTATATCTGTAACTATGAAGTACACTGAATGAGAATAAAAATACAAGCATTGTATATTTAATGAGTTCATCAGTTGGCCTGTAATTTGTTTAATATGATGGATTCATGTTTACCTGTATTTCATGTAAAAATCAATTACAATTCCATGAAAGCTGAGGCAACAATCTGCTGATTTAGTAAATTGTGAAGACGTCATTGAAGAGTTACTTCCCCGACTTACCTTTCTTGTTGAACAACTCTCAGTTCACTGTAAACTGCAGACAAACGAAATGTATATCGGTTCACAGTCAGTACCATGGTAGTAAGGCCAAAATAAATTAATGACTTGGTTCTCAGGCCAATTTTTTTCAAAAGAGATGCGGCAGGGAGGGATTTTTTTTCTTCTCATTTTACAATGCAAAAATGAGAGACAAGGCGATTTGTTTTTTATTGTATAGTTTGTAAAATGTTCATTGTGGGCATTACCTTGTCTTTTTATAGTTGTGTAGAGACCCGTCATAGAGCAAGCCTCCGAAAATCCCCCCCACGATGTTCCAGACGAGAATCACGAACCCCCCCATTCCTTATTTGTACCGAAATGAGCGCCATTCGTACAATTTCTTTATCTTTATTCAAACGTTTTTGGGACTTGAGTGACTTAACGAGTAAAAACAACATGCGGACCAATTTTCCAGATTTTTTTTAAAGACGGCAGCTGGCGCATTCATATATTTTTTTTTATTACTTTCACGATCAAATCGGCAATGCGGTGCCCTAAAATGAAAAGCGTGCGGGCCTGAGAACCAAGTACTCAAGCCTTAGTTGACCAGAATTACAGTCTACAGTGCGTTTTGTCTTTGCACAGATATTTGACTATTGCCTGGCTCCAAACACGCTGGGCGACGGGACTGGCTGTGACAATATGACATGTATGATCATAACCTTCGACCAGATGTGGAACAACAACCAAAACAAACGTGCTGCCGAACAGCCGGACGGACAGCTGGACGGACAGCCAGAAAAGCGAGCGAAAGTCGAGCAAACATGAATCATTGTGGTGGACACCTAGGTTTTTGGATAATTTAGTTTTGTAAATTGACTGGTCATCTTGTCTAGCATAACATGTATACAATCATGAATTAGTTTCAAGTTTTTAATGGAAAAAAATCATTTTGTTTGTGGGCTCAAATAACTGTTGCCTGTGAAATTGCACAATTTTATCCATGTTTTGATGGATTTGAAGTTCAATGAAGATAATTTGAAACTAAGTCTAGATATTAGAGATGTTTTGGTATAAGTGCTCCTCACGTCTTCACTGTAATATAAATTCAACCATGTCAATTTTTCAGAATTATTTATATCTTCAACTGGTTTACCAGCGTTGGTTGTTCAAGACAGTGTGGCATACAGGATCCGTACATCGAGCCTGGAGAAGGAGAATGTATCCACAATTATCACAAGTAAAGTTGTGGAAATACATTTACAAGCAGTAGACCAGGCTGGATACAATATTTTTACAACATTGTCCGACAGTTTTATAGTACTGTAATATTTTTGAACATGGAAACTGAAGCATACATACCATTAGGCATATCTGTCATTTTTTACAAGTGAACTTTTTTTTCAGTTATGAATATGTACATAATTGTCTTTAATAGACAAGAAGGGATTTATAGATTTTACCTAAGGAAAGCTTTGTACAAATTGTATGTATCTAGATAGAAACCTAATGCAGCTACACTTGGAATAATTGTGTCACTAGATCACTTATTTCTCCACTTCAATTTGGTGCCTGGGACTTGGATCACTGACCAAAATAACTAAAGTGTATCATCTGATTTGCTGGCAAGATGGACTTGGACGTATCTTCTGAAGTGATAGTCATAATTAATTGGATTTTGCATCCAAATTGCATACCAAAGAGATGATTTGGATCCACCATTTCGGTCGCTAGAGAAAAAAGGAATGGGAATAGGAGAGTGACTGAGATATTTAATTCTGCAATAGTAGCCAATCTGTCATCAGAAGGTATGTAACGATTGTGATAATCTGGTACACGTTCCTAATCTGGAAACCCATGGTCAGGATGTCGCTGTGCTAATATAGGGGTCTGATGGGCTGTGTTAGGCGAGTGATCTGTTTGTGTTAGGCGAGTGATCTGTTTGACTGTGATCTGGTAAACTAGATCTAAATTAAAGGTCCTAAATTAAATGTAAATTCTGGACTTGCCCAAACCAATTAAAAAAAGGACTCCAAATTAATGTTGTTTTCATTTGTGTGATGGGAAACTTAAAGAATCTTGCATTGTTCTGACATATACTTTTAATTGTTGCTGAGATTTTCCTACTAGTGTTGTATTAATGATTTGATTTAAAATGATTTGTTACGAATTAATTTTGTTTGATTTTTAATGACTTTCTCAAAGTCTACAGAGAATGCTTTCAAAACTTTTTTTCAATGTACAATTCATATCTTGAGCGTGTTACTTTCATGGTAGTTTTTTCCCAAATTAGATTGATTTCAAATTCCACACAACATTAAATAAAAATAGCACGTGTTAGACACACAAAAAGATATCGTATTTTCCTGCTATCTGATCTGTGCATGTGACTATTTTCATTAAAGTTAGTGAAGCCATCCAGATTGACAAATGGATCCATAGAGATGTTTTTGTAACTTCAAATGTCATATATAAGGCATTAAGAAAACAAACGTATGCTTTTCTTTCGTACATATAAGGATCTTGCAATCAGATTGGTGCTCAGTTTTAATGTTTGAATTGTCTTTTGAAATGATTCTTAAGTGTATTTGACCAGATAAAATTGATGGGTTTAGTAAAAGTGTAGCTACTTCAGAGATCGTAGTCAATTTCTGCCTTTAAATACAAATCTGATTATTACTGTGTAAAATTGAAATTGATATGATCAGTCACAGGCACCATGGTATAAATGGGTCTATTCCATTCGATAGATGTTATTTTGTATGTTTCTTTTTGTTGAAACTATTTATTTTTTACAATTTTAAACATTCTCAATAAAAGAATATGCTAAATAACAATTAAAACGAATGGTGCTGCTATTTATCAAATTGTTAGGTTATTTCTCTTTGAGTTTGCTAAAGGAATTTGCAATGAGTTCTGCCACTTTAAAGCCATTGTTACACTATTTCATCAGAGAGCTTCAGGGTATATTGTTTTGCAGTGGTTTTATTTCTGTTGTTTGCTTGGTATTGAAACAAATTGATGGATCAATCCACCAGCTTCGAAATACTGAAAGTGGTTCCAGTGCTCTTAAACAACCAAAACTACGTCGCATACCGTAACACTTCTTAGATCTGTTAACTACGCTATACACGTTTGTCACACCGTTCAGATGTAGATCTAATAATAAAGATTAGTTTGGAGTCTTTGAGTATTGTTGTATTAGTTTTTTGAAGATTTCCTTATTTGCTGACTTTTTGGGCTAAATAAGTGACTTTGTGCAGACTAAATATAAGTGACTTTGTGCAGACTAAACATAAGTGATTTTATAACAAGTTGGCTAAATAAACAAGAGGGCGTTTGTAAAGACTAAACAAGTATGACGTTGAATGAGGAACCAAAGAAAAAATACCAAAATATCAAAAAAAAAATCTGTAATTCAAACTTCAAATCTATAAAATTAGGGCAAAATAAGAACCAAGGAAAGATTCCCATAGAGACTATTGAATGTATACAAAGAAATAAGATCCGGAAGGGTTTACCTGCCAGGTAAATACAATCTTCGGCGCGAGATCAGGTGTATAGTGATGGCTAACTTCCCCTTAAGAACTTGATGTGTTGTAAATTTATCTGTCGCAGATATACAGGCCAAGCTCTCAAATTCCAAATTAATAGAGACATGTAAACACATGGCTTGGGATGTAGGGATGTTACTATCAAGGAAGGGAAAATAGTAGAAATCATCTCTCTTGTCGAATAGTTTTATAGTAAGCTGTCCATTTTGATCATTTACGTGAAGATTGATAGAAGTGGCTGAAGTGGAAGATTCTGTATGTTTTTAAGCCGCTCTTGGTGAGAGCCGAGTGGCTTATTAATTCTGTCCAGAGAACGAAATGACGGACCCACTTCCGTTCGGGGTGCGTGCGCATAATTCAGAATTCAAAATCCACATTCCATTTTCACGTCTGGAGTATACAGTGTCATGACATGACTGCAACCTGGATTTAGTGGTACTGAGAATGGAAGTAAACGTTTGGATAATGGCTTTGTTGAGTAATTACTAGAGTTGGGGATAAAACATTGTTTGTCAGGATTTTTTAAGCTTCGGCAATCAATATAAACGAGGCAGGTCCGTATTAGCTAGTGTTTCGTCTTTCAGAAATTGGAAAATGTACAAGTTGAGTTTCCTTGATTATCAAGTTAGCCTACGTTCACTTTGCAGGTATGTAATGTAATAGTGGTTATACAGTTAAGGATTTGGTTTTAAGGCATACTTATTATGAAGATCATGGAGTTTGGTTCGGACATCAGGGTCAAGAAATACAGGCTTGTGCTTTATTTTGGAGTTCAAACTTCCAATAGTCCAATATACATACACGGTTGCATTCAAAGACCTGATGGAAACTAGAGAAACCATTGGGTGTTCACTATGCTCGATTCTACTAAAATTTCCTGATGAAATTTTGAAACTAGCTTGGAGACTTGAATAAAATTAATGAAAATGTATCACATGCTCGACTCTTTAAGCCTGTTCGAACTGATTTCACTGGTAACGCAGGATTTGATGAAAGTGGAATTCGCCAACAAGGGGATCGATGCCATGAACACCAGTAACATCCTACATCATAAGTCCGTCTAAATTAACATACCATCGTACTTCAGATACAGAAGTACCTCATTAATTTACTCTACCTATTCTGAAGCTATGGCTTCCAAACTTTTCAACTGCAAGCAAACGCTACAACAGCTGGATTTCGATGACCTTAGCATAACTCCTCCTTCATATCACCATGTTCTTGCTCCACGTCCCCTAACAACTATTTGGTCCGGCTGGACATGTAGTCACTGGCGTCTAAATATTATCCATAATGCAAAGCCACGAGAACCTTCATGGAATGTTAATGTTAACGCCAGGCAAAATGAGAGCATACTAATTGTATTCACAAATCAATCCGGTCAATCGTTCAAAACAACACCACAAGTCTGTACTTGACCCCGTTGTCCAAACCACACTCAACGATCTGCATGATAAGCATGTAGTTGTTTTTGCAGACAAAAACATGTAATAACTTACTATTCTTAAACTTTTTCAATGGTCTCCATGTAAATCTTTCCTTTGTTCATATATTCCCCTAGATTTATCAATTTTGAGTTTGAATTGTTGTTTTGTGTTTGATAATGAACCTGATAGTTTGTTTTATGAAAGTTAATCCAATTCAGCATGATTTCGTTAACTTAGTCTGTAAAAAAACATGAATGCAGTCTTCATAAAATAGTTCACCGGTATTTCAGCAAATCCGTGTCTTTTGCGTCCCAACTCAATGACATATTTTCTAAAGTGCATAGGTCTTGTTGATCTTAGTTTCTATATACTAGCTGTGGTTTGGTTTGGTTGTTGCCATTCCCCTTAATACTGAACAACTACCTTTTTTAAGGACTTTGGTATGTCCCGGGACAGAATCCTTTGCCATCCTCACCTGGGCGGACGCTCAACACCCAAGCCAAAACTGGGGTGTTGCCAAGCAAGGCACTATGAAAGAAAAGGTAGTTAGAGGTAGAAAGAAAGATGAAGATTCCANGGGGGTGTAGGGTAAAATCAGGTGTATTCTTTTCCCGATCCCCCACCTGCAGGTTTGACTAGCTGTGGAAAATCGTTCCAGTTTCTTATGGAAAGAGGTAGCGTGGCCGAGCGGTCTAAGGCGCTGGTTTTAGGCAGCAGTCTCATCAAGGCGTGGGTTCGATTCCCACCGCTGCCAGTTTCATTTTGTGCACTTTTTTTTGTAGGCCATATACATTATTGAGTCAAAGATGACTTTATTTTATCGTTTTACAATTTTACAAGTATAAGACAAATGATCCCTGATTAGAACCCGACTCAATAGTTAATTCATGCATTACAATGTTGTACACTAAATTTTCACTGTCATACGGAATTACTTTCAAAGTAAAAGTGCACAAAATAAAGGTGGCAGCGGTGGGATTCGAACCCACTGCCTCAATGAGACTGGTGCCTAAAACCAGCGCCTTAGACCGCTCGGCCACGCTACCTTACGAGTGACGAAATATATTCGTTTGAATCACATTAATTTCGCTGATATGCAATATTTATTTTGCAATAGATTCCAAAGGCTAGAACGACGTTTATAATGTTTTATAATTTTAGGCAGCAGTCTCATTGAGGCGTGGGTTCGAATCCCAACGTTGTTTTGTGTTCATTTTGTTTTACACAGTGTAAATATTTTCTAGTCATGGCAAATTTAGCTGATAATATATTAAATGCCGTGATGAGAATCCTACTCAATAACA